AGATACCTCAGTTTATGAAAGTGAATCAGTTGTCAGCTCTAAAGAGGAATGGGAGAAAGAAAGTAATGTTATCCCAGAATCTCCATTACACACACACACACACACACACACACACACACACACACACACACACACACACACACACACACACACACACACACACACACACACACACACACACACACACACACACACACACACACACACACACACACACACACACACACACACACACACACACACACACACACACACACACACACACACACACACACACACACACACACACACATATGTGTGTGTGTGTGTGTGTGTGTATTAAAAGGTTGAGTTATGTTAAATTATAACTAACAGGATACTCGTGCATTCGCATGGGTCATATATGTATTCACACGCTACGCTGTAGAAAAAACTTGTCAATCATTAAATGTTTGTAGTCTGAAAAACTTTAATAGTATATCTAATATAATAAGTTTATTAATCTACTAAAAACAGTACATACACATTACAAAATAGTACAACTTAAAAAGATATAAACTAATGAAAAAAATTATTTTATAATAAAAATGTGAATTGCAAAAAATTATAATATATTCAAATTATGTGAATTTTTACTAAATCTAAAAATGAAATCAAATATAATAAATGAGTAATATAAATTGATTAAATAAATTATAATAATTAAAAAAAAAAATTTAAATTATTAGAGATAAATGATACATTGCAAGTTAAGCCCAGATTAAAACACAGACCCATTTTTCTTAACCCAATTTACATTAGTATAGACCCAAAACCAAAACACACTTGCATAAAACTTGAAATCAGTAAAGTTTTTTGTTTTCGTTTTACACTATCCTACACTGCATATTTCTTCAAGCAACCATGAAAGACAGTGGAGGGAACAAAACAGACAAATTCTATAAGGGAGAACGACAACGGGACAAAAACGATGTCGTAAGTATTGTATTCTTGTAATTTCGTTCAAAAATAAGAAATTAGTTCACATTTGCGGGTTTATTGATGGAGGTAACGGTTGATTTGTTGTTGTTGGATAGGGTTATCGAATTTTATCATTGAATCGTAACATATTTGTTATGAAAACACCGAGTTGATCAACCAATCATCGAGACTCCACGAGCTGCTGATGATCCAGTAGATCAAGTTGGTCATCAAGATGATGAACAATTAGTTGGATAACAAGATCCACAAGAAAATGTTGATCAAACATTAATAAGATCTACCAGGACAAGAAAATTAATTATTCCTAATGATTACATTATGTATCTACAAGAACCCGACTATAATGTTGGAGTTGAGAAGCCATGAGTTGCAAAGAGTCAAATTTGTGGTATGATGCCATGAATGGTGAAATGAATTCCATGAAAAACAACGACGTATGGGATCTTGTAGAGTTACCTAATGGGGAAAACGCCATTGGTTGTAAATGGGTCTTTAAAACCAAGAAAGATTACATGTTAATGTATAGACAGGTGGACAATCTAGATGTGATCGGCTATTCAGACTCCGACTTTACTGGTTGTGTTGACTCTCGCAAATCAACATCAGGATATATTTTTATGATGGATGATGGAGCTATTTCATGGAGAAGTACTAAGCAAACCTTGGTTGCTACTTCTACTATGGAAGCCGAGTTTGTCTTCTGTTTTGAGGCTACTTCTCATGGTGTATGGCTTAAGTGTTTTATTTATGGGCATAGAACCATCGATTCTATTTCTAGACCTCTGAAGATTTTTTGTGATAACTCAGTTGCTGTCTTTATGGCTAAGAACAATAAAAGTGGAAGTCAGAGCAAACACATCAACATAAAGTATTTAGCCACTAGAGAAAGAGTTAAAGATAAAGTAGTAGATATTAATCACATTAGTATTGATTTAATGATCACTGATCCTTTGACTAAGGGCATGCCACCAATAAAATTTAAGGATCGTGTGGAGAACATGGGACTTGGGTCCTCCTTATGATTGTATACATACAATTTATCAATAAAACTCTTATATTGTGATGTTTTCTCATTTTCATGTGCACATCAGTTTGAGAAAATATGTTACATCTGGACCAAGAGTAAACATTAGTTTATTCATCAAGTTAGTTACCACATTACAGATATATACTTGAAAATAGACATGTTGTAATACATAGATGATACTACTCGCTTTAAGAGGAACTATCTCGATGATTCACATATTTATTTCTTGAGTAAGTTTTCCATGACTCATTTATGCCAATAATCAGTTCTATGGACCAAGTGGGAGAATGTAACAGTGTTTTGTTTTTTTGATAATAATTATTAATAATAAAAAATCAATTTTAATGTGGTCCATAGTTTTGGGATTTTGGTTCTGAAAAAGGTATGATTTATTTTGGTTTTAATAAAAATTGATATGACCATTAATTGGGTGGTAATGAGTTTTAATGACTTTAAATTCTTGATGATAGAATCAAGCCTATAAATAGTCTTTGGTACCCAAAGCTTTCTCTCATCACAATAAGAAATATACCATTTATATCGAGGGAGCAAGAGCTTGAAAGAACCAAAGGCAGTGCACTCACAACACTGCAACAATGGCTGGAGGTAAAACCTTTAATTTTATTTCCGCGTTTTGTTTATTGATCTTGTTGTTCTTTTGTTATCAGGAACATATAATCAATATATATATATATATATATATATATATATATATATATATATATATATATATATATATATATATATATATATATATATATATATATATATATATATATATATATATATATATATATATATATATATATATATATATATATATATATATATATTGGTATAACAGGTCTTCCATACAAACTTATTAAACTCATAATAATTTGAGTTTTGGGTAGTTTCAATGTGCAAGCTAGATGAACTTAACTTCGACAATTCAGCACTAAGACTGTGAGGCATATAACAAAGGAAACAATCATAAATGGAATTGAATCAGATTCCAAAAATATCAAAAATATACCGGCGCATAATTATATACAAAGCTGTTATGAATTACCTTTGTTTTAACTTATTGATCTCAAGATTGTTAATATCATTTATGATCAACTTTGTGCCAGTCCAAGTGTTGGATACATTCAACCGAAAACCACCTTTAACCGGTACTCCCTCCATTCTCTTTTATAAGCAAAATTTGACTTCCTAGGTTCATTCAATAAATGATGTATTTGGACTATATATAAATTAGATGCATTAAATAATTAATTAATTAATCTAAAATGTTAAAATTTGCTTATAAATAGGAATGAAGGGAGTATAAAATATCGTTGTAATGAAGACGATACATTAGCAATTAAACACTTCACGATAAATATTACCTTGGGCGCCCTTTATCCTTGCATTCTGCAATAAAACAACAATGTTTCCTTCTTCATTGTGATTCTTGTGATAGTCATAAAACTGCATTGCAAGATGACCCATAGGGTACATTGAACGAAAATTTTGCTGCCAATATAATGAAAAAACACATTTGGTTGTAAATAGACATCAACAAATAAGAATACAATCGTGTAAACTCAAACCAATAAAAAAACTGCTGGTACACATGTAAGAACATGTTTGTTCATACCTCATGTCAGTTATCATAAACACAACCTTGTTTTTATTGTTATCTAAGTTGACTTGAGTCTGCATAATCTCAGTAACTCCTTCAACAACATCTAAACAAAATTAAATCACAAAGTTTAATACACAGTCAAAAGATCATTGTAATAGTTAAATATACTTATGAACGTACCAACTAACAGATTAGATTGAAATTTTCCATCAGCTATGGATGCCAAACTAAGAATGTTTAAATAATTTATAAGGATGTCTGGTACTTCTGCTCTCTTAATAGAAGTTGAACCACAAAAGACCAACTTGAAACCATGAGTAGTTGATTTAAAAGAGAAATTGTTCTTTGAAACCTTGAAATTCTAGATGATGTCATGATGTATGTGCTTCCCACAACAAGTTCAACCAAGTATTTCGAGAATAAATGTGATGGTACAATGGCTTGAATCATATCAAGCTAAAAAACCAAATATAAAACTTCGAAAAGTTATTTCACCTTCTTCATAACTAAATTTATAAGAATTAACATGCAATGAAAAAAAAAACCACAAAGTTATACCTTCGAATTAACCAAAAATAGTTCCAAGTGTTCTTTGTTTGGCGAACTTGTCACAATCCACATATGTCTATAACGAACAACAATCTTCCACAAATCTTTTGAGTTGTTAATGTCCCTAATAACCTCAATCGGTCGCGCCATTGTTGGTTTGAAAGCTGGAAAAAAACTCAGTCAATGGAAACATAAATGAAATATAATAATTATAAATACAAAGAAGACAATCAAACGACATGAATGACGGCGGTGGTGAATTAACATCTCCAAACCTGTGGTGGTGAATGACGTAGAATGATTGAAGGTAGAATAGAATTGGGAGAGTGTAGATGATGATATTGGAGAGCCATCACTTAATATTATTGTATAGGTAATGTATAATTTTAACTTTCAAATGTAGGTGCATAAACCATGCCTTTACATCTACCTTTTTTCAAAATTCTGATTTTTAGCTTGAAAAATTCTAAATAATGACACATGAGCTACATTAGTTGTCAAATCTCTAATATTACATCAATAATGTACTTAGTTGTTAATACTATTTTTGCTAAGTGTAATTTGAAGGTGTACTTAAAAGGGTAAACATAAAAATTAGTGAGGTAAAATTTTAATGAGTTAAATATTAAATTCAATCAAGATAAAAGAAACCGGAATTCTTATTTGATTTGATATAAAATTCTATTTTGTTTTTGAATTTTTTTTTCTTCTTTATCCCCAGTTTTCTTGTTCAAATTTATTTGATGCTGAACACGATTTGGATATTCAAATTAAAACCAGTGTAAAAACTATAGCATCCAAACTAGTTTAATGGACCAGTTTAAACCATTTTGAAACAAATACGGTTATAAATATATGGATATAGATATGGGTTCAATTATAAAACTAGTTATTTTGCACACACTCCAAATCCAAGAAACATTCTTCGTCCCTTGCGTCAGGTCTCCAAAATCCCTATACTTTTCCGACTACCACCGCTCTCTTTTCATCTCCTCGAGAGTTAATTGGTGAGCGCTCTGAATTTGTTTCTTTCTCTTTTGATTTTGCAAAATAATCTTATAAGGATCTATCAATTTTGTTTATGTTTATTCGCTCATCAGTAATCACAGGGAGAACGAAAGACCAGGAGTCAAAAAACCTAACCGAATCTCATCTTGCGTGTGTTCTGTGATCGTATTCTGGTATGTTTGATTTTATTTCAGAGTTTTATAATCAATCACTAGTTTACTCTATCCTTGCGCCTTGAACGTTACATGTTTGTTAAAATGCGTGCGTGAAATTGTGATAGTTGTTTTAAGGAATTTTATGCTTTTATATCTTCAGGTACATTCCCCTAATTCTGTAGTTGAAAGAACCATTCTTCCTTGTGTAATCAATGACTACACTTCAAAGTCAGGGTGGAAAAGCTTCTGCTTTCAAGAGATGGGGTAGAAAAGGCCCTTTTCTTAGATATGGTCTGCCCATGATCTCTCTTACTGTTTTTGGTGCTCTTGGCCTTGGCCATCTTTTGCAGGGCAGGTTAGTTTAGGCCTTTTCATTTATTACTATGTGTTGTCATTGAATTACTAGTTTTGAAGCTTATGTTATATGGTAGGAGAGTAACCTATGTTTGCAAATAAATGGTCTTGTTTCTCTAAAGTGAACAATTCATTTTAGAGGGTAAATGGAGCAATAACAACCATTTGATGATGAATAAAAAAGTGGTTCAGATTACATGTGCATGCATAGCTGATCATCATGAATGTGGTAGTATTGAAATATCAACCTTTAGAGCAACTCTTTCCCCTTGTCCTTGAATTAAATACCTAGAAAACATAAGAACCATTTTAGTTTTTCTGCTACATTTGAGTAGTGTGGAGTGGATAATATGACACTATGGAGAACCATTTGGAAATAAGATTATGTTATTATATGAAAAGTAGGTCCATCATCATTTCTTATTTGAAACTAGCCTTGAAGTAAAATTTAGACTATGTTTTGATGGATGGAATGAAATGGTATAAACTTATGTTGTATTGTTTGGATTAATTAAAAAAGAATGGAACCAATAGAATGATTCCACTCCCGAATGACATATTTATTTTATTCTATCATGTAATACCTAAACATTGGAATGACATATTTATTCCATTTCACACCATTCATTTTACAATATCCAAACATAGTCTTAGGCTATGTTCTTAATTATAACATGGGTCGAGTTGGTCTACATAAATGTTATTAAGAACCAAAACTCAATTTTACAGTTGGAAATTTTATACTCAAATTTTGTAGAATTAAGAAGGCCAGCAGATCTCAGCCCAAACATATGTTCTTGACATGCAAGTTTATATCATTATACATTAAGTTTATGCGTCAATAATTGATCTAACCTCAAACTAGTATGAATGCCATAGGACCTGGACCCGGACATGGTTTGACTTGGCTTGTGAAACATGAATGACCTTTTACTTTACTATTATTGGACTTATGTAGTAAGTTTTAGTTGTACCTTTTTTGCCAAATACTTCATTCTTATCTTGTTTTACCCCATCACGATTCTAAAGTACAATGCAACTGTGTCTTCCAGCAAGGACATTGCAAGGGTAAAAGATGATAAGGAATGGGAAATAATTGAAGCCAGAAAAACACTGTTTAGAACAGGACCAGTAAATGCATATAAGCCAAAAAAGATTTCATTGGAGGATGAACTTAAGGTTTGTTTTCCCTTTTAATAGTAATTTATTCTAATCAGCTTGATCTATAATTTGATTATTATTTGTTGTTGAATAGGATTTGCAACAAAAGGTAGACATTAATGACTACGAGTACAAGACTATTCCTAAACCAAATGAAGACAGGCGGATCTAGACTGGAGCTGTGAACTTGAAAAAACTTGTCCAAAATTCTCATATACCAAAATCTCAAAAATCAATTTTTAGGGAGTTATGAGCTAGTTCATCTTGAATATGTAGTTAGTTATTGTTGTCTCTTTAGAGTTTTGACTTTTGACTACGTGACTGAATTTATGGAAGAGATAATTGGGGTAAATTTTGGGTATCAAGGGTTTTTAAGTACTGTAAGGTGAACAGAAAAAAGTACTTGTTTGGTTCTACTTTAATAATGGTGAAAAAAAGAGTAAATGTTTGTTCACTTTCTTGTCATATTTTGGTTTGTCTTTTTATCCTTCTTGCAGTGATTCATATTATTGACTGTCATAACAATAACAATAACGTAATGCTAATAGAACCACTTTTACTGTCACAACTACACGCATGGTTCATTTCAGTGTTGTGTCAAGAAACATTGCTTATTGGTGATTGTTGAGTATTACAAACAGAGATGCGAGTCATCAATTTTATGTTGTCTTGTTGCAAATTATAAATTGGGCTGGTTTGTAATTCAATTACATTACATCTCCTAATTGACAAAGGTGCAAGAGAAAGAAACTCAAAAATGAAAGAAAGAAATAAGCATAACAGAATGGACCACAGTAACACAGGGTTTCCTTGTTCACGTGTGGCATACACGAACGCCAGTGCAGAATATCAATCACATGTGGCTTGCATAATTTCCCTAGCATATGAGCCTATAAAAAACCTCGAGTGCTGTGTTTAGAAACAAAAAAGAAAGATCTTAGGACCACTGAGGACATGGAAACAGTATTTTCTTTAAAAAAAGTTACCTTGAAAAGACAAGTTTTTCTTTATCCATTCTTTATTTTATGAAGTCAAAATTATTTACTATTTTACAGCAATTTTAGCTTATTTAAATTAAATAAATAGTTAACACACTTCATTCAAAGGAGGTAATCTACTTCAGTAATTTGTGGAAACATTGTAGTATGTAACAGTCACAGTTTAGGTGAATTGTGTTGCATCTTTTTTAATGCATGATCTGAACCTTTCAATACACACACATCTATGATCTGAACCTTTTAATACTCACATCTATGCTCATTTATCTAAACAAGCATTTGCTGATTCAAACCTTTCAATACACACATCTATGATCTGAACCTTTCAATACACACATCTATGCTCATTTATCTAAACAAGCATTTGCTGAATCAAAACACATAACACTGAATAACTTGTTAAAGAATTGAAAACATATATTATACTGAAGAGATCATCCCAACCATTTGCACAATTACAAACTTTATACCCCAGGTGTCCCAGAATTAATAACAAAAAAAGAAGCATTCTTCTTTATGTACACCACCTCCCCAAAAAAACATAATCAGAGGAAAGAAAGAGAAGTGAAGACAAAAGAAAAACCTTAAACCCTCCAAAATAGAAGAAACATAATGTAGTAAATTCCTATCTACTCCCCCCTTTTGTCCATTGACTGTAACCCCCCTCCACCCTTTCCCACCTTTTATTCATTTATACATATATTAAACAACAAAATCACAGCTCAAGTATTTATCCCCTCCGTTTATCGATACCGTCCTTCCGAGTATTTTATACGCAAAAAAGAGAAAATCACTGATGATTTCCACAAAATCTCTGTTGGGTTTACCTTGGGCTTGGTTGTGATCTGTATGACAACAGTGGCTGGAGAAGCCTCTGACCTGATGGACTACCTAGTAACATGGCCTGAGATCGAGTAAGCATCTCAACCATTGACGGTGTCTGATAAGCTTGAACAAGACTTGAACTGTCGGTAGAATCACCTCGTGCGGTTGCTCTTTGCCACGAGTGTGAACTCAAACCGGAGAGTATATATGCTCTCCCAGATGCTTCGTACACATGCCTACTCGCCATCCGCTCTTGCATTTCCTTGAGTTCAGCATCCAACGCAACACAAAGGCGGTCGTGAGCTTTAGCTGACACAGTCTCTGAAAGAATCTTCCGACAGTTTTCAAGGATTAATACTGCTTCAGTGAGGTCTCCCCGTTCAGCTGCAGTCCGTGCCTGTGCCATTGCATCAGCTGCTTGGAGCCTGTTGCGTTGTCTGTCCACTTCGAGAGACATTACAACCTGCCCGAAGGCTACTTCGGGCCTCTCAATCTTTACCTCATCACTTTCCAATGTTGCTGTCTCCTGAGACAAGGGATCCTTGTAAACACATTTGACCTTTATCAACGATGTTTCGCTGCTCGACGTAGCTGGAATGTTAACCGAAACTAAAAAATCCCTCTCTTCATCAGCATACAAGTCCCCAACGTCGATAAATCCTTTGCGTCCATCAGCCATCAAACGACTAGGGTAACTTCCTGCTTTAAGCGAAACAAGACCAAGATCAGGGTGTACACACTCAATCGCCACTTGCAACTCTTGAATAACAACACTAAGAAGTCCTCCAATGCATTGTGCAAATGCATCTTGTAACACAGCTTCAGTTTCGATGAATGAAAATGTTCCGCCAGAGATCTCAGAAATTGTGTGCATTGATGAAGCATCATGGTCTGCACCAAATCCAAAAGCATGCACGGGAATTTGAAATCCTGAATTGTCTCGACCACTGATGGAAGTTGGCAGAAGCAAATGGTAGTTTGGTTGAGGTTGATCATTTCCCGAGCTACCAACAGTGTAATTATCTTGTCCATCCGACAACAGAATAATATTCGCAACTGGGTTCTTTTCTTTTCGGTCTTCCATTATCTTGGCACCTTTTCTCAGCCCTTCCGCAATATTGGTACCACCATTTGCAACCAAAGAATTAACAGCTTGTAATGCCTGTTGCCGCCCAGAATCAGTCATCTTACATAATGGAAAGAGACGGCGAGCTGTGGAAGAGAAAGCAATAACAGAAAGCCGGTCATTAGTGCCTAGGTTCTGTATAACAAATCCCATAGCCCTCTTTAGTAGTGCGAGCTTAGTTCCGGCCATGCTACCACTGATGTCAAGGACGGTGACCAAGTCAACTGGGGTACGTGGAGTCTGCGAAATCTGCGTCAAGCTAGCCTGATTTCTGCTAAGATTTTGTCTTCTGGTAGAAGCAGCGACTGCAGCAGTAGCTTTGAGATGAACCGAAACTGTGAAGTTAGCACAAGTGTCGAACCTTGGAACAGAAGAGACTTCGGGGTACGTTTTAATCACCATTGCTCGAACAGCATCGGTATCTTCAGTACTCTTACTGCAAATACTTCTCTCAGAAATTGCATGTTGGTGATTTAAGGATTCATCATCATCAAATACGCCCGGCTCAGAAGCCTGATAAAGTGGCACAATATGCCGCCTATTCAAATCTCGGCGAGGATGAGGTAGAGGAAGCGGCAGGCGATGGACCACAGCCATCAAAGCATCATTTTGGGGCCAATTTATTGGACTCGGTGTCACTCTACCTTGAATAGGTTCCAAACTAGAACCCGACAAGGGTATTTCCTTCCACTTTGCTCGGCACACCGGACATATTTGGTTCCCATGTTTCACATTTGAAGCAATGCAGTGGAAATGGAAAGAATGTGAACATTCTGCTGTGAATATAGCTTGACCAGATCCCTGCTTCATTTTGGTTAAGCATATTGCGCAAGTTTGCTGAACAGTTGAAAAACAAAAGCTTGTTAGAACATGTCTATAATCTCATGAATGCTTTTAAAATAAATAAGCATTGATCAACCAATAGAAACAAAAAGAAAAAGAAAATCTTATCAACAACATGAGGCATTAAACCAAACAATAATATCAACAAGGCACCTTAAAATCACAATTGTGACATATTCATATGTTGTTGGTAAATGTAAAAAAAAAAGAAAGATAAATCAACAACCTAGTCCTAACACAATCAAAAGAGACAAAGTTAACAAAATCAATAGATGAAATTAAACAATGTTTTTTGGGGTCCTTGAAAATAACCCCACTATCAATTTGATCCCTTATCTAAATATAATAATCCCTCAAATATTGAATATAAGAAAAAAATCTAACCCACTAAATCAAAATATAGTTTTTTTTTCAAACAACATCTAATCTAATATTTTAAATGAAATTAAAAAAAAATTGTATTCCATGAATTATCCTTTGAAGACTTAAATCATGGCCATAAAGGGTTATTGAAAAATAAATTTTAAAGAAATAATATGATTAAATACACTAAAATTAGTTTAAAATAAAAAAATAAAAATGTTAATATTAGTGCACCAAAACAATTTCCATTTAAACAAAATAAATTATTTTTATGGTGACAAATTATAAGCAGAAACCACATTAATTAATGTTTCCCATTTAGAACATTCAAACAACTTGAAGATTCTAGGAAACAAACAAAACAAATCTTATGAAAATTTTGAAACAAAATTGAAGAAAGAGACATATAGAGGAAGACAGAGAGACACAACACAACACAAACCTTGGACGATTTGCTGCTACTTTTGGAAAGTCTCAAACCGTGAAAAGACGGCACCGGAGTAGTTGGCCGGGAAGAGCCCTTCTCCCAGTTGGCCGGGGAGAGAAGAGCAGCATCCGACAACCTGTCAGAAACCACCGTGGAAGGAGGAAAATCATCGTGTAATGTTCTTGGAACAAACATGCAGAGATTAAGACCAAGAGCCACCTTTGCTTTCTTCCATTTACTTCCCATTCTAGTGTAAGATCTCAAAACCCAGAAAGCAAAAGCCTCTAAGAAAGAAAACCCAGATCTCAAATGATAAAAAGCTTGAAGCTTGAAACAAGATAGAGAGAAAGAGAGAGAAGAAATGGGGTTTTATGAAAAGTAACAACAACAATAACAACGGAGAGCACGAAAACCGAGGTAGAAAGATTTTTCAACTAGTTATGAAAATGGTTGTTGAGAGTGTTATTGATATTAGTAGAAGAAGAAGCGATGTTAATGTTAATTGTTTTTAGTGTGGATGTTGTTTTTGTTGACATTGTTGTTTGGCGGCCATGGACTTGGACAATGGTTATGTATGTATGTATGTTTGA